AACAGACGCCTAGGCCCAATCGCTTCGGAAAAAAGGCAATGCTTTGCATATGGTGGGACCAGACCGGCGTAGTATATTTCGAGCTCCTGAAACCTGGCAAAATGGTCAATACTAGTCGCTACGAACAACAAATGCACAGTTTGAGAGAGGCGTTGAATGAAAAAAGACCGGAATGGCGTGAAAAGCACAACAACCTGATACTGCAGCATGACAACGCTCCAGCCCACAACGCTACGGTGGTCAAAAACACCATAAAAGACTTGGGCTGGGAACTCTAACCCCACCCGCCATACTCACCAGACTTAGCGCCGTCGAACTACCACCTTTTCACAACTTTAGGACACGCCCTAAAAAACCAGGAATTTTCGAACTCAGACATACTCCTAAAATGACTTGTTGACTGGTTCGACTCAAAAGGAATAGAAATTTTCAGACAAGGAATTCGAAAATTGCCTGAAAAGGGGTCCGAGTGTATAGCTAATCAGGGCAGTTACTTTGAATAAAAAATATTTTGTTGTATGGAATTGGTGAACTTTTGAATTCACTGAAAATTTTCGCGTTTCATACTAATAGACCTGGTATATCACTCGGGTAGATATGCACACGGGTCAATCCCGGGGCGAAGGCCGGGTCACCCGTCTAGTTTTAAATAAAGTAAATATAATCAAAAGAAAAACAATGTAATATATATAAAAAAAATATTGATAATTAAGAGATTTCGAATTAATTAAACAAATAAAAATACCATAAAAACTGTGAAATAAATATATAAATAATAGTAATAAATATCTGATTTAAAAATGAAATAAAATAATTTAAAATGTAAAATAATTCAAATTTTAATTGTTTATTAGACGTTTTGCATACAAAAATGTAATCATTATAATGCCATAATATTTCAGATGTTTTTTCTTTTCTTCAATTCCCTCTAAATATATAACTTTCTATTTCCCCCCTAGTCTACATGTTGTAGAGACATACTACATCTACTATACCGCATCGGTAGTGATGAGGGTCATAGTACGAAACCATGGTATACACACACACACACACAAAAGCCTTTATTAAGACACACTGGTCTTATAGAGGATTCTCCCCGAGATTACAAGAGAGATAGGCCTGTGAAAGTGGGGAATATACAGAAGAAGAAAAAGAAAGAATATGTAAGTATGATATATACATACACAAACCATGGTATAGAGGTTGTTGGCTGTTGTCTGAATTTACTAAAACAGGTGTTTTGGCCCATTCTTCTTTATCACTAGTAATATATACTAGTGTGATGAACATGATGCATATGTTATAAAATAAATGAAGCTTCCAGGGTTAAGTTTCTTGTGCAATTTTCATTTTTTTATTTTCAAGCTTTCGGATTTGTCAGTCCTTCAACAGGATTATCATGTTAACAACTTAATAATAAATACAATTTTTATATACATATTATTATATATTAGTAAATTAAATTTAATTGCCATCTATCGTTAATATTTTACACAAATAAATTTACTGGCAATGCGTTTCTTTTAAATATCATCAAATATTATCTCTACAGACCCTACTGCAATGATATGAGTTATTGAATGAGAGGGCTTGGCTCATCAGTAGTAAACCCTCTCAGAGAGATTAATTTGGCGAAACCGCTGAGATAGAGATTGTTTTGGCGAAACCGCTGAGAGGGTTCACTACTGATGAGCCAAGCCCTCTCATTCAATAACTCATATCATTGCAGTAAGGTCTGTAGAGATAATATTTGATGATACTTGGAAGAAACGCATTGCCAGTAAATTTATTTGTGTAAAATATTATATTATTATATACATATTGTCGCGTGTTTACCCTACCGGTTCTTTGCGACGATGCGCTTCTTCCCTTCGTGGTTCACCTACTTAGGCTCCCGTTGCTCTTCCCTGCAGCTTTTCCCCGCAGTCCACCCAAAGACGTTCGGCAGGATGTTCGGCCAGGCTTCAACCCGGCGTTGAGGCTTGTTTTCTCTCTTCGGAACACCTCGGAACTGCGTGCGGCTCGCGCCGGCTGATACTGTATCTTGGAGGAAACGTGGATCTTATAAACATTATTTTACATCCTGGGGCCAACACAAAAGCGTATTTACAGTTAACCTCCCCAGGAAACGGGACCACAGCAGTCGGCGACTCCCACATCAGCCAGCAAGGGAATCAGGCGAAGCGCCATCTATTGGTGGAGGTTGTAATCGTTTGGAGGCCTTACACGTAACAATATTTTAAATAGTTATTATATATTGAGAGAAAAATATATTACTATACTATATTCTGTTTGAAAAACAAAATTTTTGAAAATATACGTGGCTTGGTGGATGATACGTGCTGGTTGAATTATATCTCGAGACTTCAAATTAAATTTAATAAATTATATTGTAATCGTTACTGCATCGTTCTAATGTATATTTAAAGGGAGAGGTAGCTCTATAGGTGTATGAATACAATACAATACAATATACATATACAATACTACATGAAATGTATTGTCTACAACAACAACAAAGTCTTTATTTAGGGCCTCTCGCCCTATACAGGATTCGCCAGTTCACAAGGGATGGGGAGAACACTGTGTGGACCGGGATATAATCCTGAGGAATCCAAATATCACCCTCGCTATATACCTACTAGCCGAATGACCCGGGCAACGCCCGTGTTTTACCCGATTGAATGTTTTGATTCAAATACTATTTGTTACAATTATAAATTGGCGCCTTAAATAAATGCATATATTAGTTAATAACTATCGCCTATGTGCTTTATCTGTCTATGTACTGTTGGCTTCCGTAGGCGTCTCTTACTAGGAAAAAGTAAGAGAGGATTTCATTTAGTTATTAACTAATATATGCATTTATTTAAGGAGCGACCCGCTCCAACACAATAGTTACAAAAACCAAAAAGCTAGTGGGGGGGGCAAAGTCAAAAACAAAGTGTCTCGCGTAGTGGCGGCGCCATCGTAGCCAACCAATAGGAGAGCGCCATTCCAAAAAAAAAAAAAGCAAACGGTGACAGAGATGATGACGCTCGTAACTGTATATAGAATTCTTTGATATTTCATTAATTAGTGCCGGAAATAAAGGACAAAGTTGCCCCGTTTTATCATTTAGTTTTCGTCTTTCCTCAGACAGAGCAGCACAATCAAATAAGTAGTGCAACATCTCCATTGTTATTCCTGATCCACAGAAAGTGCATTTCAGGTGAAATGTATTGTTTACGTAGTGTGTGACTACTGTAAGTGTAATCACTCAACTTGTAACTGGTCGGACAAGGAAACACAAGTGGACCACTATATCAACTCAAGTGGGGTTGATTACAAGAATCCAGTTTCTACTTCTTTCTAACAAATCAAAGAAACTACTTTAGTTAGAGTGTTTCTAAGTCTCTTAACCATTAATTCTTTCTTCGTTATTGCCACTCATTTCTATTCCCTTTTGGTAAACTACGTTACTTTTTTCCCAATAACCTTTATTTTATTTTAATATATATATTAGATAGTAAAATATAATCTTTCTCCATTTTTACCCCTTTGTATATTTCCCACTTTCATAGGTTTCTCCGTCTTGTAACCCCAAGGAGAATCCTCTGTAAGACCTGTGTGTCTTAATAAAGATTTTTGTGTGTGTGTGTATATATTAGATAGTAAAAAGGTATATATTGTATTCAATAAAATATTTATTTGCCAATATTTCGGTTGGCTGAACTCCAACCATTATCGAGGCATTACATTTTTTTATTTTACACTTACTTGATTTAAGTATGGATTGCTCTATTTTCAGAACAATATATATATATATTTTTCAAAATAGAGCAATCCATAAATAAACCTTTAATTAAAAATGCATATATTGGATTAAAATATTTATTGACGTTATGTGGCGCTCTGAGTTTGTTGTTGACACACATTAAATATGTTATAACACCTTGATAAAGGTTGGCGTTTAGCCAACTGAAATATTGGTAAAATAAATGATATTTTGATCCAATATATGCCTTTTTAATTAAATATACATATATGTATATTAGAATTAAAATTGTCTCTTTCTCTATTGATTTACATTGTTTCTCTATATTGGAAAATTAAATGATTTTATTTAGGTATCTTGATTCACACTCATGAACAAAATTTGATGTTGGTTGTCGTCTCCTTTTTTAAGGAGACAGAAGAAATTTTGTTCATACTCGGAAAAGAAGAGAGAAAGACCATTTACCTAATTTTTATTTTATGATTTTATTATTAAAAAATTACTGATTCAATGCTGTACACTTCGGTAGACAAGTAGGTAACACCCTCGATTCCCGACAGCCATGAACTGGGATTTAATCCCGCGTTAACATTTTGTTTAATATGTGAATAACCTTCACATATTATTCATTGTTGTAAATATCATAAACTAGGTTGTTCTTGTTGAGCGGGGGTACCTAATAAAGTGATTTTGGAACCGATTCAATGCTGTTTCAATCCTGATCTTTTTTTTCACAAAACGACAGTAATAAAAACATTATGTAAAACATTTTAAAATAAAATCTTAACTCAACCTTGTAGAGAGAAATTACCAATATTTGTATATATTGTAACAAAATGCAAATTTTAAGGTATTAAATCCTTTATTTACAATTGCATATTGATTTATTTAAGTACAGGGTTGTTTGAAAACAGCAAATTAATAAAATAGGAGATATATGGGTGTTTTTTAATTTGCATGTTAAAAATGCATATTAATTTTTATATAAGAGAGGATTTAAATTTATAATTGTGTGTCTTTTTTATATATTCTAAGCACTTCATCTTTTAAAATATTTTCTATTCTTCACGAAAAAACGAAGGACAAAAGTATTTATTAATTTTATTTTTTTTATTAACAGAGTGGTCATTTTTATGTTTATATTTTGATACTCTGTTAATTTTCCTCATGGCTTATCTTTTGTTTACCATATAGTTTGTTCTTACCTGAAATAAATTTCTGTGTCCTCTCTTGAAGTTTGCATGTTTCCGTGTTGTAGCGGTTATCACGTGTGATTCCAACGCACAAGTTCCTCGGTTCGATCCCTGGCGGGAACATTTTTTTTTTTGAGCATCGGTGGCTCAGTGGTAGAATACTCGTCTACCACGGTCCGGGTTCGATTCTCGGCCGATGCAAATTTTTGGACGGTGGCCATGGAAGTCGGAATCCGCTAAGGAGTGTGTAACAACTCACTTGCCGAAGCAACTAGCGCTGAATTTGGGGCTCAAAAATCATTCATTTTGGTTAGCAGCCCCGTAAATAGAGATATTTTCTCCTCTTGAAGTTTGTCTTTCCTAAATTTCCACGTAGCAATATAAATTCAAAGATAAAGGTAATAAATACATCAACTGTATTGGCAACACAACACGTCTTTCTACTATTTCGTTACTACCCATTCTGGTACCTTTTTCCCCCTATATAATCATCGTTATTTCTACCAAAATTTTCCTATCCTTCAAATTTCCAAGCTCATCCTATTCCTTGCATTGTTCCTTGCCAGTAGTGTAGCTTGTGTGTCCTCAAATTACATCTCTCACGCCATCTGTGGATTGTTAGCAAACAATACAATAGGATGTTGATGCTACAAACAATTAGTGGCGGTAAATCTTTTATATTTTACCTTATGAAAGATTTTACAGGACGGTCGTTGGAACAGTGGTATTAAAAACCAATTTTTGATAGCCATAACTCCGGTTCGAATCCCGTATTGGGCAATTTCTTTTTCTAAGAAAATGACTCGCAAAGTTCAACCTAGTTATTAAATCCTTTATTTCACTTTTCATTTTGGGCCCGAAAGCTCGAGTGTTTTAAATAATATTTTGCAAGACACTTTCCCTAAATGGAATATTTCCCCCTCAAATGATATTTATATGAAGGATTATTATTTTTGGAAACCCTTTATTTACAATTGCATATCGTTTTTGATTAAGGTACATACTTGATTGAAAACAGCGAATTACTAAAATTGGGAGAGATATAATTTTTTTTTAAAACGTATTTGAAAATATTATGGGTCGGTTTTATAAAAGTATGAATGTGTTCATGGTGTTAAATTCTCCAAAGAGGAAATTATACACTTCTAATCTCTTATATTTATGCTTTTATTTTAGAAATAATTACACTGGTAGCCAAAATTTAAGTTTTTTACACTTGGTATTTCATTCTAAATTTTAAATTATTTAAAGTAGGCTTCATAAACATATTTTTATATTTTCCAAAACATGCTTATGTTTCCTTTTTATGTTTTAAATACTTTTTTAAAAATGTTTATTAATAATTAGGGATGATTAATGGTCAGAGATCAGAAATTAGATTTACAAATATTTACAAAAACAAACAATTTACCCACTTAATAATGGGTGTGATCCACTCTTACAGCTATACATTCTTTACACCTGCTTATCATACTCTTTACAAGGTTGTTGATCAGTTCAATAGGAATTAGATTTAATTCTCTTCAGATAGCTGTCTTGAGCTCATCAAGGCTTCTGGGAGGGTGACAAAAACCGGCTACTTGTTTCACAAGGGCTTCACAAGCATGTTCTATCGGATTCAAATATGGAGACCTGACTGGCCAGTACAATATTTGAATTCCAGTGTCTTGAAGATACTGAGTCACCAGGTTCGATCTGTGGGGATGAACGTTATCGTCTATTAGAACAAATTCTTTTCCTTCTGTGTGAGCCAACGGAAGAACATATTGCTCTAGGTCACGATACCTTTGACCAGTCAGGGAACCTCCTTCAAAGGCATGCAGATCGGTGCGTCCATTGAGAGAGATGGCTGTCTACATCATCACACCGCCACCACCAAAGTTGTCTTACATTTGATGACCTATATCGTGTCTCTCCATATCTTGTATCATCGAGAATCACTCTGGAGGCTGAAGTCATCTGTGAAGAGAACTTCGTTCAAGTCATTGTCTGTCCAGTCTTGATGCTGACGACTCCAATTCCAATGTGTTCCCTTGTGTAACGGTGATAATGGGATGGATGCAACTGGGCGTCTTGAATAGAGAACAACAGTATTAAGCCTTCTGGACACAGTTTGGACAGAAACTTTCTTCCAGCGACCGATTCAAGCTCAGAAACAAGCGTGATACCTCTCTATTGAGTTTAGCAGCTATTGCCAAAATTCTGTCATCTTGTAGTGTTGTGACTTTTAGATGTCCTGCAACAGGTCTTCAGGAGACATATTTTGTATCTTGAAATATTCCGACGCCTTGCTGCATCAGCTTGGCTTAATCCCATTTGCCATCATCCAATAGTACGTCACCTTAAAAAATCAGTTAAACGAGGCCTAGAAGCCATTTCGAAGTACAAAGAATTAAAAATTGATTTGAAAAGGAACGATTCAAAAATGTTTAGGCAACAAAAAGCAGCAGTGTCAGGCGAGAGACCTAGCCAGAGAAACAATAAATGCTTGAGTGGCCGTATCTAATTTGCATATCGGAATAACTTTGCATACTTTCTTACGCATAAAGTCATTTTAAATACCTGACTGCTTGTTTGTGCGTTTAAATGCCTTATTTTTAAAGTTATGGAGCGAAAACAAGGTGGAACTTAACTTTTGGTCATCAGTGTAATTGAATAACTGACTAAAAATATTTTTGAGAAAAATGATATTATAATTATCATCGTTTATATTTATAAACTAGCCGAATGACCCGGGCAACGCCCGTGTTTTACCCGATTGAATGTTTTGATTCAAATACTATTTGTTACAATTATAAATTGGCGTCTTATATAAATGCATATGTTAGTTAATAACTATAGCCTATGTACTTTATCTGTCTATGTACTGTTGGCTTCCGTAGGCGTCTCTTACTGGAAAAAAGAAAGAGAGGATTCCATTTGGTTATTAACTAATATATGCATTTATTAAAGGAGCGACCCGTTACAACACAATGGTTACAAAAACGAAAAAGCGAGTGGGGGGGGGGGGAGGGGCAAAGGTGGCGTGATCGTAGCCGACCAATAGGAGGGCGCCATTCCAAAAAAAAAAAAAAAAAAGCAAACGGTGACAGAGATGTCTGATGAAGAATGACGCTCGTAACTGTATATAGAATTTGTGTAAAATATAGGTGAACTATATACAATGTCTACACAAAGTATTCGTTGACATGAATGATTTTTACAATATAAAACATCTTCCTACTGCCCTTACTGTGATGATAAAATATTGGGAGGGCCTGGCTCATCAGTGGTGAACCTTCTCAGCGGTTTCGTCTCCCTCCTCCTTCAATGTCTTCCTCTACTGAGGGACATGGTCTCTCCATACTTCCTCCGCCATCCTCTTCATTTCCTCGTGTCATCCAGTCCATTGTTTTAGATCGTCTGTGTATCCCGGTGGTCTCCTTCCCCTCGATCTCTTCCCCCGGAGCTTTCCCTCCAACACTGTCAGTAATGTCTCTCCTGCTGATCCGCGCATTACATGTGTTACTCTGATACAGTGTCCCAAGAACCTGCCAGTCTTTGGTCCACCCCGGGTATTTCCCAGGTACCACCCATTTCTGGGAGACATTCCCTTATCTATAGTTGGGTAATAAGGAAATCATTTATTTTTCAAAAAGAAACATTTGAGGGCGTAAATATTTTTAATAATTTTGAATGAATATGGTAATATCAATTTTATGCAAAATTACATGATAGAATATACTTTTGCCAAGTATCGATTGTGTAGCGCTAAATGAGCTCAATATAGAGTTCATGAGTTAGAAGATGGGAATGTGGCATGTTCCCTTGATAATTTCCTTGTGCAATTTCCTGCTTTTTTTCCCACCAATCCTAATTTTTCAGGTTTCGATTGTGTAACTCAATAATATTATTATTGCTAACTGGTCCTCCTCTCCTCTTTGTAACTTTCCTCATTTTTTTTTCTCTCGACCAAAGGAATTTTTACAACACACGAACCTTTTGTTCTATCCAATTTTAAAGGCCCCGTCGGAGACTAATAAAAATTATACAATTTGATCGCTGATTTGTGAATCCAATGGAGTGGTTTTTGTCGTTACGTCGTCCTTTGTTTGCACATAACCTTTTAACACGATTAAAGATATATATTTATCTATTTGGTTTTCGTGACACGTGTCACAAGGACAACCTTTCAAAATAATTCAAATTGATCGGTTTTATAACTATTAAATATTTAGTAATATGTTTTTTTTTTATGATAGAGTAGAACCTTCATGAGAGGACACTAACGTTAGCGGACACCTCTTTATAAAGGACAGTTTCCATTTGTAAAATTACCATTTTTACTATTTATCAACTCTCCAGTAAGAGGACACCTCTCCCTAAAGGACACTTTGGCTTTGCAATTAGGTGTTGTCCTTTACAGGGAGGTTCTACTGTGTATATTAGCAAAAATGATCTCTACAGACCATACTGTAATAATTAAAGTTATTAGATGAAAATGCTTGGCTCATCAGTAGAGCGAATTTTGTAATTATTAAATTTTGAGTAATGTTTTTATGATATTTATCATCAAATATTATCGCTACAGACCTTACTGCAATGATTGAAGTTATCAAATGAAAGGGCTTGGCTCATCTCAACGAATTTTGTAATTATATAAAATCTTTAGCAATGTATTTTATGATATATATTAACTTTCGCTTTTCTCATCCAAATGGACCACGACATTCGGTAATTCTATTAATCTCCTCCGAACGGTGACTGCGGTCTTGTAGAAGTTATATAAAATTTATAAATGAAGAAGAAAACCTAAATTTTTAAATGCAATTAGTTCTTTAAAATATGCTTAGTATTTAATCAAAAATAGAAACTATACGTCATACTTTTCTTCCTTTTTATATAGCTAACTTTTATAAAGAATGGAAACTAATTTAAACCCAGTAAAAGATTGCTTAAAATTTTTTAAAAATTGAAGAGAAATGTTATTTAAGAAGGAGAAAGAAGTCAATCATTCGACTTCCCAATTTTTAAAAAGTTTTGACCAAACTCAATAAGATTTTTTCCCCTTTTGATTTGAATAGATTGAAACTTTATTAAGGCTAGCCCTCCCCTAGAATGACTTTGTTCCAATCATATTTTTCCAATTGTGGAAGAGCGAATACTGAATTGGAGAAAATAAAAATCATTTTTGAAGAAAATGCTTTTAAAAATTCTCGTTA